TTTCCTTCTATACTTTTTAGCACGCAGCTATTTATTATTAGCATTGTTCTTCCGACGTCTGATTTCTTTTTAATTATAAGAAATGCGTTTTTCTAAGGTACATAAACTTTTGGGATTGACTGTATAGCCAATACATCCTTAAATCGAGACACGTTTCTGAATAATTTGATCTTGGCTCTTAGTCTGATATTTTCAATCGCGAAATTTGCGGTGATAATACTCGGTAAGCAAATTAGAAACGCGGAAGCTCTGGCAAATTATATAAAAGAGGGTGACAATGAATTCGTATACAACTTTTGAAGTACTTGATCTCAGTTGCATAGTTCGAATGGAGAAAGAAATTTTTGATGGGGCATTTCTAAGAACAGGCATGGCCAAAGAACAGTAGAAATGTCCAACAATATTCCAAACCTTCGTTCAATCCCATGAATCCATCTTTCGACTGCACGCACATGTTTTTATGCGCGCAGCAAAGTCTCCCGTCGTCTGTGAACCGCCAGGTTTGTGTGGATCTCCTTCGAGGATCCGGTTTTCTTAAAGCCAAAGCGCAATACGTAAACGGTTGAGGCGCCGTGCCCGCTATGTCCAACACTAACACCGTCTCCGGCGTCTTTGAATGTTTGTCTCTCGGTGGACTAGATCCTAATCATCGACAAATCCTTTTTAATAATATTCCGGATGCAGAAGAACAATTGCTCACCTTCGTGTTGTAATTGACCGTCGCCAGTCATTCTCCATAATTGAGATCTAGCTCCGTACTGTTTTCTCCGAAGGGCTACCCAGTTTCCAGGCCCAGCTTCCAGAACTAATCGCTGAGTTTCAACGTCCAGAGGGTCCAGGCTACCCTCCCCTGTCCCCAAATCGGAGTCATTTTTAAAAGTACCTGCGTTTCAACAAACAAACGACGTTTTAACAAGGAAACCAATTTGATCTCACGTAAATCGCAAATTACCTGCGAAGGCGATATAAATGAAATTCTCATAAGTGAGGACTCTGCCTTCTCCGAGCGCGTTCAAGTCGTACGTAGCTGTCACGCCACCGGGTGCTGTCAGAACCAGAGCAGCAGACTGTATAGGTTCGTCCAAAGCGTACGGCACGGAGGAGTGCGGCCTGACCGTCCATTGCAAATTGTCATGGACAGTTACCTACGAAAATACTCTTGAAAATAATTTCTAATTAATTGAGAACGGCTTAGCGAATCGCGATTGCTCGTACAACGCTCGAAGCTTGTTCCGACGATTTGATTAATCACCTGATTCACCGTGAGCGGCACCTCCGAGAAATTGTCAACCCTGATCGGTGGAGGCATAGTGTCCGCGTCGGTGAACACGACGAAATAAGTGCTCTCCTGGAGGACAACGTCCACCCGCAAGAAATACATCTTCCCCGTTGAGTCTCGAATGTTAATAGTCAAGGAATAGTTGTCGTCCAATCTGATACCGCCTGACCACACGCAATTTTTCACGTCCATGATGCGAACGCATAAAAGTAAGTCCTTGTCGAGCCGCGGCCAGTGAAACGGCATATGGCAGTCCGACATGATTTTGATATACGTTGCTTGAGCATCTGGATGACTCTGAAAAGAGCAATGAGACGTCATAATGAATAATCGTGAATCGTTACATTACTTACAATTGTCGTCGTGAAACACTTCTGCGCTAATTCCAACGTGGAAGTAGACTTATTGTGCAACTGGTATCTTGGCGAGAGAGTGACAACCGTCGTGGCTCTGTACTTTCCTCTGGCTGTTCTGGTAGCCACGCTGATCAAGTACACTATATCCGGTCTGCCATCGCGGAGAGATATCCTGAGACGATGAACTTGTATACCTGGCTGCAAATGAAAATGCTGGGACCACTGCGGGATTCCCTGCGGATGAACCGAAGTGCCGACTCTGACAGACAAAGTCCTGCTGGCTTCTTCGTCGCTGAACGAAAACAGTAGCGGTGCGACCATTCTAGCTTTCTCATTCTCTTCGAACTGTCCAGCTGCCTCGACTCCGACTCCCTCCTGTCTGAACACCAACGGTAATCCGGTCTTATTTATGATCCAGTACGGCGCAGTGATATTTATCTGTATAGCGGATCCTTTCTCCACGTTCACAGCTGCGTGGAGATATAAAATCCGTGCAGAGGAATCCGCCAGCCTTAGGCGAGCAGTGAAAGAATTAACGTTTGGCGGTAATATCATTGTCCCGGCTCCGGGATATCCATCCAATTGTATAGTGATCTCTAGCTGCTCTTCGACGTTGACAGTATGCAAACTCGCGTTCCCACCGCGTGGAATTCTCCCAGTCTCCGTACCAATTTCATACAGCAATTCGTGGGGCAATAAATTTGTTAACGTGAGAGGTGCCATTATCGTTATTGTGTGCGCCGGCAGCATCTGGCTCATGTCCAATGGATAATTGTCCCTCATCACTGCCACGCACATTCGAAATATATTATTGTGATTAGCTCTGCAAGTGATCCGATTCTCTGTAACTTCTAACGGTTTCTTCACTACGGTCCAATCTATCGTCTCGGTACAGTACTGGAACAGATTGTTCACATTGATGGGCTTCAGACACATCTGTACACCGGTGTGCGTTAAGGGTACCGATATGGTAGTCTGTGCAGGTACTTGAAGAACTCTGTCGCTGACAGCAGGTATGGTCAGCGGCAAGTATCCAAATTGGTTCAAAGATTTCTCTATCTTCACTTCGACGGTGTGCATCAGTCGGTTGCATATCTGTAAAGCCGACCTGACAGTCACTAACTTTCTAGCGGATCCTTCTAACTCTACCGCGAATACTATTCTAGCTTTTGGCGTTAACATCTGAAACAGCGTCGTGTCTACTTGTACTCCGGTGATGTTCGCGCTGGCGTGACGGAAGTAGATCCCAACGCGGTCGACAGTCACGGGATCCACGGACTTCCAACCGTCTACTAAAACCGTGATCTGGTGTCTCCTAACAGTGTGCGTCGCGTGATGCCTCAATTTTCCTCTTCCCTCGAAGGTGAAGGGAACCGTGTCACCCGGAGGTACCTCGAGCCACGTGTCGTCCTTCTCAAACACGTTCTTCGTCTTGAAATTCTGGCCACCGTCCTTCGTGTCATCGGCAGTCGCGATTATAGTTTTGAACCACAGCTTGCATCCGGTCTCGTTCCTCAACGCGAAGGGAATAAACGGCATTCGACGTCGATAAGACTGTCCATTAGTTTTGCTCACGCTGAGATCTTTGTTCGAGGTTGAATAGAAATCCTGCATCCAATTATTTTTCACCAGTTCTATCAACTCTATCAGAGTCGAAGTCACGTTAACGTCGACCGAATTCTGAGAATCGATCGACATCTGCAATCTTTTAGCGTTCAGAGAGTTGGTGAACGTCTGCTCCCATTTAACTGTAGCGTGCCACGGTTCTATGAACGGTTCCCAACCACTAAGCACCCTGTTGTAATAGTCGATGCTGAACGTAGCCGATACTATGCCGGGTCTCAACCATTCTTGTCTCAAATCCAAATCCAAAAAGGACAGTTCTAATAACGGTACATCGGCGTCCCTGCAATCGTCTATGATACAAATCCTGGCGCAAGAAGTTTGCAATTCGACAGTGTGAAACGCGGATTCGTTGTTCACAGCTGTATCCGAGTTAGGCACGGCGTTCTGTGTCAGCCACAGAGCTGCATCGTCCAATTGTCCGTTGCAGAGATCTAGAGCAGCTCTGCAATCAGAATCAGTGAATCCGAGAGTCATTAGTTTCTGCACTTGTTTCTCCATTAGAGTTAATCCTTCCCCTGAACGTTGTTTAGCTACCAGAGTTTGTTTTGGTAAAGAACTGAGCATCCTCGAGAACATGGTCACATCGTGATAACTCAGTCGCACGCATAATGGTTGCATGTGTATCTCGAGGCATTTGTCCTGCGTTAAATCCAAACTAGCACCGACGGGATCTATTATAGACAGCGCGGTCTCGTCTTCTAGGCCCAGGATGCAAGAGAATAATTCGCAGTGGGAGAGATTGCAAGAGAGTGGTTTCTCACCGTCTTGAGGGGCTGAACGATATGAAACGACGGCTGTACTCCTTAAGATAACAGCATTCGTGTCGCGTACTGACGTGTCCTCGACGATAACTAATTCCGAATCAGTGATGTTGATCTTCAGTTCGAAAGGACTTGCGGTCGAAGGGCTGTTATCTTGATTATTCTCAGTAGTAGTCTGCATGATTCCAAGTATAGGCTCAGGTTCTACGGAATTCAGCATGAGGAAGTCTCTTACGGCTTCCCACCAGTCCAAAATTGCAGTCAATCGCATACTGTGAACTAAAATAGTCGTAGTCGCGTTCGCTTTCCGTCTCCTGTGGTGTACTTCGGCTTGGACTCGGTTTTCGTTATTGGAATTCCTCAGGGGTTGCAGGATGCTCGTAAAAACGTTCGACTGTTTGTCAACTGGCTCGTCTTGAAACCTCATGTCGGTGATCAATATTTCTTGAGAGACGAGATCGATATCTTGAGATCCGTCGCTCAGCGAGTCCAACATCAATCTCGATTTTATGAAATTGATGCAAGCGAGGGCAGCGATATTGTGATTCGGATGCAATTTCACGGTGACGTTTACCAGTTCCAGAGTAATACACGATCGCTTCCAAATCTTTTCTTTGTTATCAACGCTGACGATGGAATACTCTGATTCCACGGTTTGATTCAAGTCCTGCATAAATTGACGTAAATCCTCCAAGTTCTCGCCGATGTTGTAAGACAGCAGGCCTCGAATTAACATGTACTGAGGTGGATCCAAGGCACAATCCATCGTAGACAGTGTCCCGTGGATGCTGAGATCTGGGATCTCCCTGCTGATGTACGTATCCAGATTCCTTTCGATTCGCAGTTTTAAATGGCACATTTCTGTAAGAAGAGAGGAACCAAGCCTTTTTATATGAAACCCACCGACCATTAAAGTGTCTATATCGTTATCCTGATCGTCGCACTTCACTCTCTTCGCTGCGTAAACGTCCATGTTCACTAATTCGAGAAACATTATATCGAGCAGGCATCTGTCTATCACGTCCGAGCTCTCAAATCGATTGTGGGCAGTGAGTTCTCCAAGATCTAATAATATCAATTCATCGGATCTAGAACTGACTGGCAAGAGGATTACCGGTGCGCCGGCTTTTAATTCCAAGGATAATCGGATACTTCTTCTGTTGTTATCGATCACAGCTCCAACGCCGGCCCTTAAATTGGCCATAATGGTCCACAGTTGAGAAAAGTGTCCGAAGAAGGCTTGAAGCTCCGCGACGAACCTCTGAGTGTGAACGTAATGAACTGCAGACATCTCTAGCTTTAACCTGGCGTCGTAAGGCCGTTTCTCAGAGTCCACGTAGCTAGAATATTGAAAGTTCAAGGCCTTCCTACCGGATGAGAGGAACCTCTCCCTGTAAAATCTTCCATGGGGCGTTAAATCCAGTAAAGACATCGATCCCAAAGATCCTGACACCTTCGTTTTACCATTAGATTTCAATATATGCATATTGGCGTTAGACACGTTCGCTTTCGCGATTTCCCTCTCAGTTTGTATTAAAACCAAAGTCAGAGATCGAACGTCGATCTCTGTTTCCGATCGCTGAGGCACGTCAGCTTTGTCGAGTTGATCCAATTGTTCCGTGGAGGTCTGGTGCGTCGTTATCTTCGCGTGAGTCCCTGACGGACCAGCGAATCCGAAGAAATCGAACACCACCATCCACGATTCCACGCTGATCACTAAATCCAAACAATTGAAATCGACGGTAACAATTTTTTGATGACACTGATCGTAAACTGGTCGATCGTGGTCCGGTTCGATTATAGTGATGCTCATAAGCACCAAATTCTCTTCACTGGTGGACGCACCCGGCGACGGGGGTGGAGTATTCGGAGTGTTCACCAAAGAAACTGGTTTCCTGCGCCAGTGAGCTGGAATCGTGCCGTAAAGAGTATCCGTTTCCAATCTATCGGGCAAACTGCCTCGTCCGTACTCGCTTCTGATCTGCTGGGCGAACGCGAAATCCGGACAAGACTTGGAGACGCCGGCTAGAAGCTTGGCGCGAGTCGGTGCCGACGACTGCATCATGCAACGATGCCTAGAACCGATGGGACAGAGAAGATCCTCCATGAGGAGAGACCGTAGAGAAACTTGGATGGTAGATTCGTTTTTCTGAAGTTTCTCATACTTGGCGACGAAATCCCTCATGGATAATTCGACGAGCGGCTGTTCCATGAGTCCTTGCTTCAGTTCCACGCTCAGAGTCGGCAATTCGAACAGGACTTTGATCGACAGGTCAAGTTTGTCAGAGTAATTCTGTACTTTGTTCATCGCTTGAGACTTCTGAACTACCGGCACGGAGACTGGCATGGAAAACAGTCTATTTATCGTGTCCAATAATTGCTCGTACTGTCCACGAGATAAAGACACTTTCAACGGAGTCATCACGACCCCGTGAACTTGAACTATAGGATTGTTCGAGAATTCGTTGTCGATGAAGAAGCTGGGACTCTGCGCCAACGCGTTCTCCTTCTCGACGACGACCTTCAATACTGTGTCGTGAAGAATAGGCTTGCCCGATTGCTTGCAGCAATAAATCTCCTCAGCTCTCAAAGGAAGATTACTGTGAACTTGTCCAACGTTCGCAGATATCTCCAGAGAATATAGATTCATGTCCTTCACTTCTAAAGTCAATTTGTGCTTCGCCATGGAGCCCGGATGTGGCTCGTGTTGCAAGGACATAGTTCCGAGGTGCGCGACGAACACTTGTCTACTGTGAGACGAACGCGGAATCACCAATACCGGACTGTTCAGTAATAAATCCAGTTTCAGAGACAACGATCCTGAATTTTCCATGTCCACAGACAAACTTGGCAGACGTCTCCGCGGTTGTATGGACCAATCTTCTGCGTTTACTAAACCTATGGCCATGTCTGTAGCTGCTGCACTGATCTGGCGTGCAAGGTTGCTCAAGTACTGCTTGAACTCGTCGGCACAGGAACGTAACTCCGACAACAAGTGCGGAGCGTGGGTGTACCAGACGCTTCCAATGCGGATGTTCAAATCTATTAACGTTTCTAATCCGTCCTGATGCTGGGGACTAAAGTTGGTGCATCTGTTCGCTGAGAATCTCAAGGCTTCGGGTTGGTCAGGTAAATTGGTGAAATGTTCGGGTGGATGCTGCGGTGGATCTGCTATGGGATCTCTCCCGACGCTAACGATCCTCTGATGCGTTTTGCCGGTCGACGTTTGGTCCAGAACTTGCAGCCCTCCGAGGGAACCGAAAATCGAAGCGTCTATTGCCAGCGTGGCTTGTATACGCGCGTCGCACATCGTAGCTGTGGCGATCTTCTGTCCCACCAAATGGTTATCCTGCATCACTGCTCTCAGAAGTAACACGTTCAGTCTATGAAACTCGAAAGTTATATCCGTCCTAGTGGATTTCTTCGGTTCCACGGTTTGATTCGACATAGACTCCTGTCTCTCGATGTGCGCCGACCTCATCTTGTGGGAAGGAAATATCCTCTTGAAGAATCCCATCAGTTCCACTATCGTCTCCTGATTTGCAATGATATCCAAATTGTTGAACTGAATATTAGCTACTCTCGAAGTTTCCAACGTATCATAAACCAATGTTAAGTCGACCACGATCAAGGCTTCGGAGTCCGTCTTCTCAAGGTCGATCAGTGAATTATTCCTAGGAGATTGGAGAGTCTTTGATTTGCTCGCTATTTTGGACAAAGCATTCGTCAACGCGACGGGCGAAGTCAATCTTCTGGGTACGTTCGGATCGGGAGAGCAGGGAGAGCTCGGGGAAACGGGAGACGTTGGTTCAGAGTCCCTCAAACTTCCGGAAATACTGTCCATCCCTACGTGTTTGTGACTGGCTACCAATAACTCAAAATCTTGTCCGAACTCCTGAAGAGCATCGACTAGAAGCAGACCGTGGACGGAGAGAGAGACGCTCATTTCCGCGGTTCTCTTGCTGAAAGCCGCACGGACACCAGATACTTGCAATTCTGCCACGCTCCGTCCTCTGGATTGTAGTTCGAATGTCATCTTATCGATGATAAATTGAACCATCACAACTAGGCTCAACGATTTATCCAAGTGTTCTTCTCTCTTCGGACTTTCTGGTTCCACGTTGATCACATCGGTCTGAGGAGCGCCGGTCGACTTCGAGAAGCTGGACAACAGGCTGTACATTAATTTGATCGCCTCCACCTTCTGCTCGTTCACGTGCACCACAAGTTTCGGTAGATTCCCGGATACGGTGACTGATGGCAGATTAGGATCGGACGAAGCGAACACGCGTCGTTCGATCTGCAAGATTATGTTGAAACGCTCGAGAACGTGGAGATTAGACATTCCTCGGGACATCCGCACGTGTTTCCAGTTGTCCTTCACCTTCCCTACGAGGATCTGCAGATCCTCGAGATTGATGGAATACTGATCGTACAGTTTCTGATACAACGCTGTCTCGGAGATGGTCTGGAAGTCTTGAACCGAGCCATTTTCTTGACTCCCGGGTGGCGTGGAGCAAGGCGTCTCGAATCTCTCGTCCTCGTCGTCGCTGTTCGGTTCCGGAGAGCCCGGTTTTATGATCACTTTGTTGGTCTGCGCGCTGTTTGTTAAGTGCAGTGTTCCGAAGTCCACGACTACCACTGCGGCATTTGGATCGGTGAAATTTTCTACTAACAAAATCTGCGGCGCGGATATGTTAAACTGCAAGTCCCACGAGGAACGGTATACTAAATCTACGTCCAAGATCTGTTCCCAGTTCTTCATCAACTGCCTTCGAGTTCTTCGCTTCATCGCTTGTATCCTCTGATTCGAAAACGATCTATGTGGTTTGCACATGAAGTCGATGAGCCAGTAGATCACAGTAGGATTGTAGACTATGTCCAACGATCTCGTGTTCACTTGCAACAGGTGGTCGGCGTTCGAATGCAGAGGCCTCTTCTCGTAAGTCATCTCGAATAGATGTTGAGGTAATTGACTGGTCAGCTTTTCAGAGGAGCTGCGCACTCTCGAGTTCATCGTAGGGATCACTTGAGGTTGAACCAGAATCGGGAACGTGGAATTCTCTGTGAGGTAGTCGTGAAGGTACAAAGCACCCAAACTGATGAAAAACTTATGAGAACCGTATCGCGGTCGCGAATCGTAGCTCAGATGAACACGCTCGAACTGTAATTCGATCAACGATTTCATTTCACCACCGTTCCTTAACGTACACAGGGCGAAAGCTCCCTTCGACAACGCGAAATTGAACTGCCCGAACACTGTATCGCGACGCAACAACGTATCGTCGTCCATCGTGTCCGCTAGAACGTCCAGAAGCTCGCCGTCGAACGTCGAAGATGTGCTCGGAGTGTTCGTGCTCGACGTCTTCGAGTACCAGCCCCACCACTGAGGAAACCACTGTTCCAGCATCCCGCGGGGTTGAGGCACATTTACGTTGGAATTCTGGAGAATCTTCGGTGGTCTGACCCTGTGCATCGCCGTTTCCCTTAATACCCTAAGTTCGTCGAAGCTCCGTTCCTGTTCCACCTTCTCTCTCAGTTGCTTCGTGTCCGGAGACAAGATCATCGTCGGTGTTCCTATACGATGATAATACCGTTTAGCATCGAGGAGATAAGAGAATCGTGAGTTTTAATTACCTAGTAATTTAGTGTAAATGTCCACGTATTGGATATTTTCTTTTCCTCTACGAAGGATATCTTCCCAAGTCGGTTTAGGCTTCAAAGCGTGTTTACCGATGTGACACCGAGCAGCATACTTCCACCACTCTTTCGGTGCTGCTGAGACACTGCCGTTTGGACGACATCGTCTTTGCTGCTTGCACCGATCTATATCTTTCAGTCCTCTTATACACCTAACTATTTGATCGTATTGCACCTGACAGAGAATCATACTTGAACTGTTTGAATTACGATTGCCATATATATTTATTGCTTCGATATTTACATCTGTGAGGCATAAGGGAACATCGTCTAGCTGCAGATCGACGACTATTCTTGGTTTATTCGTCGATCTCAACGGTCGCTCGGATCTGTCCCTTTTGATATGTGCCCTTGCGTTAACAGGAGATAAAATATAATTCTTTACAATGCTTTTTGGTTCGCTCATGGCGACCTAAAAATGAAAACGAGCATTATCCCCGAGACCACGAATCGAATCGAATTGTAGGAAAGTATAAATATATACAGCTAAATCACCGAGATTGAGGGAACCAAAGAACTCGTCTTCCTTCAAGTGATTCCAGTAAATGGAAAGTCTGTCGAGTTCCATGAGCTTGAAAGAGGCATCCGTGAGGTTCCACGAGGTGGACTTGGGTATCCAGCTCGCATCGCAGCTTTGTGCTGTTAAACCTCCTATGGTTACACCTAACGCGATACCTGCGCCTGTTCAGTTTTAATTATCAATCATCTCTCGATAGTCTCTTTCCTTAATTTTGCTAGAAGTTGTCTTCTCACCATCCGGCAACGTTGTACCGTCCTCGTATCTTATGTGAACATCCTTAATATTCAGCTGCAAATTCTCTATGATATTCGTGATGAGAGAAGTCCCATAATTCACCCACGAACTATAACTGGCAGCATAGTAACCAGGATCTCTTTCCGTGTCTGCTCTCCATCGCGCTTCCAATGAATCTAATCTACTCAGCTTGTACTCTAAAATCGCATGCTCTTCTGCCTCGTAATCAAACTATAAAATAGTTGTCATTAAATATAAAGAATCGAGGAGATCTTCTAAATTCCTGTACCTCGTTTATATTAATCGGTCCGGCAACCAAGTAAAGTTGTTCTATTGCTATTACCCAGGAAGCTGTTCTTATTTGACGAACAGGCACCTGGACTCTGACTTTCCCAATGAATCCTGCTTTTATTTCAATCGGTAAGCCTATATGATGCAGGGCTTCCTTCTTTAGTGGAAGGTTCTCCAATTCTACCTCGCCTAAACAAACGAATTATCAAGTTTTACGTGTTTGAATTATTAGATTGCATTGTCATTTAAAAATGAGTAAGTCGGATGACTGTTCAGCAATAAATAATACAGCATTGGAATCTTGAGAATGGTCAGAAAACGTTTCGTCAAAAATACAAGGATGTCAATCGAGCGTTTGAATAAAAAATAGATTTTTAAATTCGTTGGGAGTGGGATATAACCTACCAGACAACAGGGCTATGCTCAGTTGATCGGTATTCAGATTCTCCACGTATTTCCCCAGGTAATTATTGAGCACCCAGGCGACGAGTCCTTCCAACATCTTCGAGGATTTAGTTGTTCCTTCACGACTACGAGAACGAACTTGTGTACAAGAGATGCGGCCGTAAGCATCTGTGCAGGTTGATCGAGTTTCGTTAACTTTCGAAACTCACGAGTTAACAGCACCCGCGGATTTTTCTGTTCGCGAGAGACGGCGAGTCTCGTAGAAGACGAACATCTTTCACGGTTGAAAAATAATTTATTTATCGCGTAAACCACAGCTGATGATTGTTCGCGGCGAGAGTCATATCCGAGAGGCTCAATCGATCGTGCCGAACGTCCAAGTGTTTCGACATCGCGCCGACGGAACTTTGAAACCTGCGATTATATTTATAAACGCCGCGATCTTACTTTTTTTTGTTGATTAATGTAAAATTCCACGGCCGTGTCATTGTCGCATGCATTATTAAACCGAGCCGCGGGTTCAAAGTTTAAACCCGCGAATAATTAAATCGAATCCCGTAAGCTCGAACTTTAAACTACTTTAAATTATTGGCAGATGTACATCAATTTCTGACTCGGTCTTTGGCAAAGTTCAACGACTGATATATCTGCAACTACGCATCAGATTTACTAATATAAAATCATTCGTATGATGCTCGACAAATGTCATTCCTATCCATACTAATGCACTTTGTATTACCAATACATTGAAAGAAACGATGTTATGTACCTTGGATGATCCTGATATTCAGGACGATGATTAATTCTACAAATATTTGGAAAAATGTACGATCTGTGTATATGCAATAAATTAAAATCCGTGAAATGTTCACTTGTTAATTATGTTAATGGAAGTCAGATATGAGAATCTTTAACCCTTGAACATCCATTACGCGTCTCGCGTTTAGAAATTCAAATGTCCTGGATGAATTTTTGGTCATGTAACATTCAGATGCAAACAGCAATCTCGCATTCATACGTATGATAAAACAAGGATACGATTTTATTTCGTAAATTTATTCCCGGAGATAGGAAAGTAACATCCCTCAGAGTTAGCCGTTACTAATAATGACAATTACACAATCTCCTCATCTCTCCTTAAATAAATATCAATCTGCCGTCACACTCGTTCAGATACGTGACATAAATGCACTTTGTTAACAAGTCTGACTAAGCACCTTCGTAGCGAAGTAACGATTGTACGTAATCGACAAATTTATATCGTGAGTTCATCGGTAAAAGCATTTTTTCGATCAGAGCCCCGTTGTTGAGGAACAGATCGCGAAGTAAGAAATTTTATTCTATCGATGAACGCACGATTCATTATTGTGTCTATTCAGACTTTGGTTTCGTGTCATCCTTGTAATGTAGGAACACCAGAGAGAATAAGAACACGCCGCCCATCATCGAGAAAGCGCTCACGTAGTACGGATATGCACTGGGTATAAATCTTTCGTATTGCGTGTGCTGCAAAGGTCGCACCGACACTTGTGTCGTGCTGTACAAATGCGTAAGACCGATGCGAGTATAATCTACCTTAAATTGATAAACCCCGTAGACGTCTGGGATTTTAAATCTAGCTTCGTAGCGACCGTTGCCTACGGGTTTCATCGTCATACGGACGAAAGGATCTATTCGAACAAATTCTAATTGTAAATCATTGGTTTCATAAGGAATCCATTTGTCTCCCGCTAGTTTCTCAATGGTTATGGAATAGATCACATCGTCCATGATCGTGTAAGCTGCTGGGGGCTCGGATTCTCCGACCCTGTGATGATGAACAGCAGATACGCGAATCACACCGTTTTCTTTGAACACCCAACGAGCAATCATCGTCGCAACTGCTTCATTCCCAGATTTCTCATATTTCTGACCACCTAAACAATGTTTAATCATTTAGCGAATGATCATACAGTATTTACGTCAATTGGTTTACCTTGAGCTCTCTGGATGGGACTAGTAAACGCCTCGTCACTGAAGAAGTACAAAGAGCCAGAGAACACGACTCTCGCATTGTTTCTGGCTTGCAACGCTGCGATCAGCAATGTGTTTTTACCAACTGCGTGTGGATATTCTTTTATGGAATTGTTTGGATTGTAAGAGTATGCAGAACTGGACGCTGTTAACAGACGTAGAATCAAAGGGTTCTCTGTATCCGCGATTAATCCTGTCCCTTGATAAAGCAATGGTTGCACATTCTTGTTTCCCACGATCACGGGAGCGTCTATCAAATTGACAGGGTCTGCCACTATTTTTGTGTGATATCCATTGTCAGATACATCGTAATTTAAATGATCGATGACTGCAGAACCTTCTTCGTCAATTTCGAAACCACATTCTGAAGCCAGCTCGTGGAGAGCGTCCCCAGTTTGGGATGAACCAGCGACGAGGACGTTGCCTCCTCCGTCAATGAAATCAGTTATCATTTCAACGCTCAGAGTTCCACCGAACTCTTCTACGGATGGAGCGAATATAATTAAATGTTGATATAGATATTCTCCATATTTTGAGAGTTGCAGATTTGCATCATCTGCCAGTTTAAACGTTAACGTGTATCCAGTGTCTGCAAAAGATGATAAACAATCGTGAACGAATCCTGGATTGCAAGCTACAAAGATTGCATCTGATGAAAATTGTAGAACGAGATTGAGTGTCAGTTTATTTCGAAACGAAGCAGAAGAAAATTTGATTGATTTTAAATAAACGTTCTATTTACAAAGGATCGAATGTTTACCTTGCAGGCTTTTGAAAAATATGGAGTGGGTTTCTTTGATGGCTAAATTGTCGAGCAGAACCAGAGTCGGCCCGCCAGCGGACGCCACTCCGAAAAACATAACGAAACATAGGAAATTGTTTGTAAATTTCATTGTGTAGCTGAATTGCCACGAAACCGGTTTCACTATCTCTCAAACTTGCGGCTCCTCCATGCACCGACACAACACGTAATCAAACGGAAGTGATCGGCTTACGCGGAAGTGACACGGCATGCTTTTCAACCGTATAGATCGAACTCACTAGCATTTGAATGAACCCGGTGCAAAATCGCCGCGCCGTTGGTCCGTCTAATGACGTTTGCAAAAAGGCAGAAAATTTTGTTTACGGGTTAAAAGGGCATCGGGTAATCTGCACCCGGTAGAAACATTCACGAAATGCAGCGCGACTAGAGAGTCCGGGCCGACGCATGCTCGAACGCGTTTTAAACGTCAAAACTGTGCGAAATTGTCCACGGTTCGTGAATCGAGAGATACACTCCGAGGAGTCCGAGTAATGTCCTTGCTGCACGCTTCGCAGGATTACCAGAGTGCTATGGCCAAACCGTGTTACAAACTTAGGACCTCGCTCCTAGGACATTCGTCCGACGTGAGAGCTATCGCGACGTTCGCCGACGGAACGATAGTTTCTACCTCCCGTGACAAAACTGCTCGTGTCTGGAAACCATCCGGGTATTTAACCTATCATTAATAAATACTCTGGCTCTCTTGTCTATTTGCTATGAATCTTTTCCTTGAAACTATTCTAAGAACAAAGTTCTTCCATTACTTGCAGAATTGAGAAGGATTATGAGACCACAGCAACATTGAAAGGACACTCTAACTTCGTTACTTCTGTATGCATTATAAACCCCTCTGAACAGAACCCTTCAGGTTTAATTATCACCGGTAGCCATGACAAGACTATATGTGTTTATATCTTGGACCAAACAGAACCTGTAAATGTAATCAAGAGCCACCAGGACACTGTGTGTAAATTGAGAACAGGTATAATGGAAGGAACTTTCTTGTCAAGCTCCTGGGACATGAGTGCTAAGTTGTGGAACTTGAGTGATTTGAGTAAACCACAGTTGGACTTGCTGGAACACACAGCTGCAGTATGGTGTGTAGCAGATATGGCCAGTGGATTCATAATAACTGGAGGAGCTGATAAGCTCGTTATCGTTTGGACGTGCGATGGCTCTGTAAAACACAAACTGACCGGGCATACAGACTGTGTCCGGGATATATCTACAATAAGCAGTAATGAGTTTTTAACTTGTGGCAATGATGCTAGCATACGTCATTGGGATGCTTTGGCTGGGACTTGTCTAGGAACCTATTACGGCCACGAGAACTATATCTATAGCATTTTAGCGTTAGAAAACGGTACAAGTATATTTACCTGTGGAGAGGATCGGACGCTTAGGATATGGAACGCCACGGAACTAGATATAAGTCAAACTATTACCTTGCCCACGCAGTCCGTGTGGTGTTTAGCGTTACTTCCGAACGGCGACGTGGTTACCGGAAGTTCAGACGCCGTCATAAGGATATTCACTTGTGATCCTGAGCGGTATGCGGAACCAGAAGCGATACAGGAATTCGAGCAGATGGCAGAGAATCTTAAGCTCAATGCTCAACTAGAGCTAGGTGGGATCAAAATTAACGAGTAAGTAAGAGAGAAATAGATTCCTGAATAATAAGACGGTATCTTAATTTGTGCATTAACAGTTTACCAGATGAGAAGGTGTTGCTCGAGCCTGGGCAGAAAGATGGGCAAACTAAAATCGTGAACGACAAGGGTTCCGTCATGGCTTACAGTTGGTCACAGGACAAACAGAAGTGGATTAAGATTGGAAACGTGATGGGTGCGTCGGGTGGTAGCGGAGCTACGTCTGGGAAACAACTGTACAACGGGAAAGAATACGACTACGTGTTCTCTGTGGACATTCAGGACGGTGTTCCTCCTTTGAAATTGCCGTACAACAAAGACGACGATCCTTGGCACGTCGCGCAGAAATTTCTTCACGATAACGGTCTTAGCCAATTGTTCCTAGAGCAGGTACAATCGTCGGTCTTGTTGCTTCGTTTAATGCGAAACTAATCGATGTTTACGGCAATTCATTTTCATTTTATAGGTTGCGAATTTTATAGTAAAAAATTCACAATCCACATCAGTTATGAAAACTGATGCTCAATATGCTGATCCTTTCACAGGAGGCAATAGATACATTCCTCAATCGACAGGAAATGCATCTACGCAAGACCCCGTTAGGCCAGTTTCATCGAACTCCTCAAACAGCTCTACGTCTTCTTACATCCCACACACAAAATACTTGAAACTGGAACAGGCAAATCTTGTTCAGATTTTAGGTATTTACATCTCCTCTTCTGACTTGCATTGATCATTCGATGAATTAATTAATTACTTTGGTATATATCATTTTATAGAAAAGTTAAAAGAGTTCAATGGGAAACAGAGCGATTCGCTCAGAGTTTCAGAAGACAAATTGGAGTCGTTGGTGAAACTTGCGGACCAAACTCCTAAGCAGTTGACCACCGACACTCTGTCGATCTTGAGGATGCTTCTGAACTGGCCATCGGAAGTGCTGTTTCCGGTTCTCGATATAACCAGGCTCGCGGTCCTTTCCAAAGACGTGAACGATGTATTATGCACGGACGAACTCCTGCAGATCGTGAAGAAGCATTTGAAGCCGAATGCGCTTCCCTCCAACCAGATGCTCACGTTTCGTCTATTAGCAAACATGTTTAGTCACGAAAGGGGAGAGAAACTGTGTATCAATTGCAAGGACGAGATACTGACGCTTTTATCAGAACTGAAATCCCTCACAAATAAAAATAATCAGGTACGGATAGGTCTATACTTCTGATACGTGGTTCGCTAAATGAATTTCGATTTTCAGGTCGCAGTTTCGACGTACATACTAAATTTGACTGTAGCTTTGAATAAGTACGATGACACCCGTGGTAAAACACAATGCCTGAACGCGATGTTCTCGGTGTTACCGCTCCTGAACGAGCCAGAGGCAATGTTCAGAACTCTCGTGGCGTTAGGAACGCTTTTGAGCACTACACCGAACTCAGACGATCAGAATGGCTTAATCACGGCAGTACGACAATCGGAAGTTGCTTTAGACATACTCCACACTATGTCGGAGACCACGGTTCCCACTAACAAGCTTGCGAATTGTTCGAGAGAGATAATCCGTTTAATTATTTAAATGTAACATCACGTAAATGAAAAAAGAAAAAACATTTGGAGAACGAAGAATCGCATTGAACACCGAATAACCGAGTCTTGTAATTACACGTATTTTGTCGGCGTTGCGTTAAATAGGTTTCTTATATTTTTTGCAATCTGATGGTTGAAATATTATAATTATCCCATTGCTAATAAAAGTACATTTTGCCATACTCGAGGGATCTTCATTTATAAAAAGAATCAACTCGATAATCTACAAGTTCCCTTTTATATAGGTAGACCAGTTTGCTGCTCTTACTGTTCAGGTAAGATAAAACTGTGTATTTCCGAATAAAAAAAAGATTAATCGATTAAAATTAATATGTACAACGATGAATATAAAATAATAATTTATGTAATATACATAATATTTGATTAAATCTTTCGAGCGTCACGCCCGATAAACATACAACAGACAACAGTGTAATAGTAGAATATTGTTATTACATTAACGTCAAATATATATATATATATTTTTTCTTAGTTGTATATATCAATTCACTCTCGCGGATAAGCCGAGAGCCAATTTCACCACAACTCCGCAAGTTAATTACGATGAAAAATAATAACATTCACTGTGTACACTCATTATTAACTTCAATTATGCTCAATACATATAGTACACGAAAGATAGTTTCCAGCTGTAATCCCTTCTTTTTTTTTTACAGTATCATCAGGTCATTCATGGCTCGTGGGAATGTGAATATGCGATTTCCATTATCTTTTTTCTTTCTTTGTGTTTTTTTATTACAAAAATAATTTTAAATATATAATCTGAGATCTGTAAGACAATAGAAACAGTGCTGGATCGAGAATTGTTTTTTAGTATCTCAAACTGCTGTACATTATCGTTAATGTATGTATCTAGATTGAAACGTTCCCCCCTTTTTTTTCATCCTTTTGTATCGACGTTATGGATCAAAATCGTCGTACAAAAAAGTCCCTGGCTTATAGAATACGTGTATGGCGATTTTCTTTTATAATATACTGTCTAGTTTACGGTAAAATTAACTATCAACGTTTTAGATTCCACAACCTGAATTCAAATAATTTTCTCAAGTTGCTGCACGCGTCTATGTTGACCCTGATCTTGTAGTTCTGAAGTATAAGACTCGGAATGCCCTATAGAAATGCACTGATCCATAAAGATGTACTCTTTAATCGATTTACGCATTATACTCGATGGAAAGAAAATGAAGAAGAGGAAGAGAAAGAGAGACAGACAGACAGTCAGACAGACAGTCAGACAGACAGTCAGACAGACAGGCAGACAGACAGACAGACAGGGGCAGAGAACGTGCATACGAGATTGCAAATCCTTAAATATCAGAATTGCACCGGGAAATATGTACCCTTTTCGATATAAGTCACTTCTGTGGATTTGAAAAACTATCTCAAAAATTACGCTCGAGCAGTATCGAATCATAATTCTTCATATGTATATATATATATACATATATATATACTTTTTCTTTATAGTAATCTAAACTGTTTAGTACGAGAGCGATTCCTCAATTCATTTTGTACCACTGAACTTAAATTTAGTTTTTTATATCAAGCAGTTGTTATTATTTAATTCGACTACTTATGATTGCCCGTTTTATACGATTTATACTTCGTACTCGCGTCACCTCGAAACAAGCATCTCGTCAGCGATGAAATCAAAACACAGCCTTGTTAATTGAAGGGTTCAGGGAATAAGTATTAAAAATATAGACATCTCGCAAGTATAAAATCGTATCCTAACAACGAAGTGATCAAACGAATTCCAGACAGCTACTTAAGAGAATGATCAATTTTTTTTTAAGCCGATAATACCGATATACGATTACACTGATTATTTGTAGGAAAGTCCAGAGTCGAATTTATAAAATACTTTCAGTGTTTAACACTATATCACGTCAACTTATAAAAGAAATAATCGTACAACATATTTTAGCAATCCTACTTAACTAATTATTTTCTCTAAATTGCAATACGGTCTTAGATAAAGATTTAGAATGCTCCGAGAAAAAGCGAAATATAACTTCACATGTTTAAAAGGAATTCGTCAACCGATAATAAACTGAAGAGTCAGCCGTTTTAAGAACTTCACTAGAATTCACCGTATATATCTTTCCACTGTCGCGAGAATTGTTGAAAGTCTATCGATCAGTTGCATGATAGCTTTGAACTCGACGTTACAACTATTGATAGAATAATCTAGCAAGTACGTACGTTTACTTCCTTGTGACTTTAAAATCCTGATTCGCACTCTTCTCCAAGGAGAAATATAAAATCCGTTTCCCGCACCCTTCAATTAGGGCTTCCCTTTTTACTATGACGACGTACTAGGAGGGACCTAAAACTTGTATTGGGTCCCTCCTGGCCCGTCTCATTCGGCCGGCGTGCTGGACGCCCACCTGTCGAATTCTATCCCGGAGTCTGGACTAAGGCCCAGATCGATAGGACTGAGGAAGCTCGGCGCTGGACAATTACAGGGCCCTCCAGGTCGACACGCGCCGATGCACCTTTGATCATTTCCCCTGCTACTTCTATCGCCTCTGTCTCTCAATTCCTTCTCGAAACTGTGCAGTTGCTCCATGAAATGAAAGTTTGGCGCGACGTTCGACTTCCGACTGCGCACCAGGTTGAACGCGTCGTTCAGGCTGAGGCTACATTTGTGCATAAGGTAGGCCACGGTGATCGTAACGGATCGGGATACCCCAGCCAAGCAATGAACCAACACTCCCTTGTCTGAACTTCGAGCCTCCTCTAAAGACAAACCCCGGACGATTACACTCGATTCATATATATAAAACTAATCAGTAGTTCAATGATTACGATTATAATTGCATGCTCACCGATAAACTGAATTGCCTGTGGAAAGAAACTAGCTAAATTCTGGCTCCAGTGATCGCTTATAGGTATTTGCATGTATTTTATCGAACCAGCGTTTTCAAATACATTTGGCAAATCTGGGGTCACGTTCAGGATGTACTGTATCCTATGGCGCGCCAGGGCCTCGCTGTCCCCGCTGTTCGCCGCGTTCCCGAGGTATAGATGGGGTAGAATTTCGACCGGGAACTCTTTATCCTCCTCCGGTCCTAAAGAAATTGATAAAACGACATTTGAATACTTCTCTCTTTACGCAGAAAAAGATCGTTGTCATTCATACGAAGATACAAACCAATAGAATCACACGTGCTATCACTGTCAGAGTCAGAATACGACCTCGTAGGTGGTCCGGAGATTCTAAGGGATCTGAGACCCATCAATTCCCCGTCGTTGGAATCCTGACCTGGAGGACCCTCGTTATTGGCTTGACTACCTTCACACCACTCGGGGTATCTATCTCTGAATGCTCCAAAACCATCTGCACAGAAAATAAATGTGTTCACGCGATTAATTCATGACGCAAACTAAAGTTTAGGTCAAGTACATGCACTCTACTTGAGAGTAAAGAACTATAGATGAAATTTAAATGGCTGGTTGAATAGCAATACCCTTCTCATACAAATCAATACTTCATTCAGAACTGTTCTTAATGTTTCATGAAGCTGTTTAGGGCTCTACTATGCTCTTGGAAATTACTTATACTGTTCTTATCGAAATGTTACATACAAGTTTGTCCAAAATTTAAATGACAGTATGCTGTTCCTCTTACCCATTAAGATAGCTACATATCCTCCACTACTTCTAAATCTTCGACTTAAAACTTGAATAGTTTCACCCTGATGTCCAGCAGGGTCTGTAGAGTCACCGATTAATACGAATGTCCCTTTGCTGTTTTCATCGCCACACAGAAACGCTTCCACTCTGTTTCTTAGGTCTAAGCACCTTATCGTAGACAGCAGATCGACCTTGCCAGCTGCCAGCCTTCTCAGCATAATGCTAGGTACAGCTAAAGGAACCGAGCCTCTAATGTGAGCTTCAGAGAAGTCAGAGTGTGCCCTACAGTCCAAGATGAGAAGCCTATTGGGACCAGTCGGTGATCTGAGTTCCCTGAACAGCCATTCTGGATCTATCAGATCCTCGTCCATAATTCCGCCTGGCATGCTGACAGAATTCTGCCTGGTTCTTTGGCCTTTTCCCCGAGTCCTCCTCACAGATACGATCTCCTTGGATCAATTAATCCACTGTTTCCCATCGCTTTCCAAAAAAGGAACAGCAAACACCTGAGAATCTCCTTTCTGCTATGGCACTTTTAATTAATGCTTCACTACTGGTCAAAGTGCACACATCTTACTGGAATATAACTCGCAGAGAACGACAACCTCGTGGTCACATGCTCACAGATAACTGTGGGACAATGCGAAGTGTGCGCAAATAGAATGAAGCGCGCGTGCACGTGTCATCTACTCTTAAATATTTATCGAATACGACGAAATGGCACTTGGAGTTGAGTAGTGTACCGCGTTACCCGGAGGCGTCCAGGCCCGTGTTGACTCTCAGACACGCGTGTCCCCGTCACGATTTCACGTGTTCCCATCACTTCGTACGGCACCCTCGATGCCGATGATGCCTGCTCACTCCTCCTCTTCCTTCGACTCGTGCTCCACTGCCGCCGCCACCACCAGCAGCTCTCGATTATTGATCCTTTTGTAAATAGAGACGACAGGTTCAATTAACGCCGAACGTTTCAGCCCACCAGACAAATGCATGATCCCACGCGTTCCGTCCACTCTCTTTATCTCGAACGACTACACCGACATCGCGGCTCGTGGAAAGAGCGCGCTCCTCTCTTATTCCACGCTCTACGACGAGTCCGTGACTCGATCACGTTTACGGTATCCGTCTTCGTTCCTGCTCCGAAACACCGAAACACACAGGGAAGGGATGCTGCGCTGTACGCTGCTGGAGCCGTTGGTCGATTCGAATCGGTCCGTGCAACACACGCTCTAGGTTCAGGGAAGATCGGTCGCGTATCTCGGCGCTGCGCGACTCGAGACCGTCGCCCTCACCTCACGAATCCCTCCAACATCGTTCGGACGCGTCTTCTTCCCTCGCCGTACCCGACTTCCTGTTCTTCTTTTCCTTTTCTCTCTCGTTCCCGTGCTCGACTCACAGAAGAGAGCCCTCGGCCACTCGATTCCCGACGTCCCGACTGGCTCTGCCTTCCTCTTCTCGCTGCTTCCGTTCGCTTCTGGCACCGTCCACCGTCTCTGTCGCACTCCCGTGGTTTTCTAGCCAGCCTGCTGCAGGCCACACCTTACCTCGAGCTTTCTTCCGTCCAGAATGGGCAAATGGCGCTTAGTACCCTGAGCGTAGGGGAAGCTGCTCCACGCATTGATTGGCGCCGGATCACGTGGTGTCCGTTAACGGACGAATCCCGACACAGGCTGACGTCAGTTCATTGACAAAAGATGTTTTCATTAACAAGGCGTGGGTAGATGGGTCGGGGGTCGGTACTGACCAGGCCGCACCGCGAGCCACCAGGCCAGAAAGGAGCACGGGACGAGACGGGGAGCCGAGGATCGTATACTATACACGCTCACTCTCTCACGCGTGCGTGGGCGCATATTATTACGATCAGCCGGAGAAACACGACACGCGTCTACGTCGTATCGACGTGCACGCACACTCGCGTGCACGTGCTGCGTCCAGGAACGGCACTGGCCTTACCGTCACCCGACGCTACTCAACAATTTATTATCCTTTAGAACGTACTTGTAATGCCTTCGTCGCTGCTTACGATTCTACGTCCTTTCTTCATGTTTGTACATCTGCAGAATTTATTGAACAGCTACGAGAGGAGATGAACCTTACGAACAGGAGTGGATGTACGACGCGTAAAAGTTGAATGAAGTTCGTTCATACCCGTGGGCGTTGTACTTCGATTAATGGACTAGAGACCTGGAACCAGGAATGATACAATCGATTACAAAGTTTTACATTACTGATTCTCCTGTAAAACATATACTTCGTACTCAGGCGTATAATTTGTACATCAGGAACAGTTTTATAAATGTATTACTGAGACGCTAGGAGAGTGTACGTTCCTGGATTCAGTACGTGAAGCCTCACCTCGAATCGGGTACCCTATCAGGCGGCTCTCAGAGGCGTGGGCTGGCATTCCATTCATTTGGGCTGCTGTCGTTGAAGATTTTCACGTTCGATCACGCGGACGGCGCAGGGCCACTTCATCCCGACCCCTAGGAGAATGCCGGGGGAGAAAGACCGTGAGAGAGAGGCAGACAGAACGATGAAAAGGGCCTCCCTAGTCGGTGTCGGTGGCCTTCGACGAGCCACGAGACGAATTTCGATTCGATTGCGTGGGAGAGTAATAAGGTGAGCGTACTACGACGTCCTTGATACTCGACGCTCGTTTCGATCAATGGCAACTGAGGATTTACGTAAGAATGTATACCATGGATCCTCGGCTATGCATCGATATCGTTATGCATTTATATGCATTTTTCGATATCCATACGTGGAATGTGAATCCCCTGTGTACACACAATATGAGTAATGGGATTAGTCGCGTTCCAAACCGTCCTGGGAAATGCTAATGAATCCACGGATGACGTGGACGACCTTTCTCAAAATAAAGGGAACCTTTATTATTTATTATTAGATAGGAGATACGATTATAGAACACGGTTCTACGATAGTAGCACGAGCCTAAATAGTCGCACTATAATAAGAATGCCTTTATTAGACTCGGTATCTGACACTAGTCCGTAGATTGCATTAAATGGTTTGCTACAGCAATCGCTGGACGTGGGCTGGAGATCTATCTTTAGCCAGAAATTGGAATAGACAAAGGGAACGAAGGTTTACAGCGGTGAACCGGCCTGAAAACTCGGATCATAATCTCTCACGTAATTCGGGACCAGATTCTATTTTCGCAGGCAAATCAATCCTCATTGTTCCCTTAAATACTTCACAACCCCGAAACTCCCGTCGTAAATTTTGTCCCGTCAACCAGAACCCGAGCACCCTTCAGTACTTGCATTGTGCCCCTTTATATCTGGCTGACGGGACAAGTTATTGACCGGCGTGAACCTGCAATTTCGAATCGGTACATCGACAAACGAGTTTCTAACAAAGCGATCATCGATCGCTGAGAGTAAGAGCTGGCAAAAGTGCACGCGGTATTATTATGGCAGTCACACCAGTAATGTGTACGTTAAGATGACGTAAGTGATACCTGTTGATGACCTTAACAGGTGTGCATACTTAATGGCTGCGGCATTACGTATTTCGTGATGCAGTCGGAAGTCGCGAGGCGTTACTCAATCAGGATTCCATAGTACGCCTCGTCGATTCAGCCACGACGCCTTTTTTCTATACGTACTACTCTCTTCTCTCCGCTGATCTCAACTGGAACTTCCGTTTGGCGAATCTTTTCTTAGAGGATGCCGTCATCGAAAGATTAACACGTTTCCGTTTAATAAAGCATATTGATCGGTCCGGATCTCGGCGTCCAGATTCAAAGGAAACATCCGTTTCCACGAATCCACCGCAGCTCGCGTACAGCGGCTGTTTATTTGTGTCTGGTTCCTGCAGGCTACCGGAGGAGGAAACCGATTATCAGGTTCACAGTGGCTCGCCAGATGTAACGTCGAACGTGCGTACGCTCACGGATGCACGAACACAGAGAGGCACGCGGGTGTACGCACCGGAAGCAATACTCCCTGGCACTTGGTCGGGCATTAGTGCACGCACTCGCATTGGTGTGTGCGTTCGTGCGGCTGACGCGTGGGCGTGTGCGTGTGATTACCACGAAAAGCGGCCCCAGGTTGACAGGAAATGGTTCGAGATAAGATAATGACGCCCCGCGCCTCTCCTGCATCCGGCTGCTTTCTTCGCCGTTCCAAGAGGTTCCGACCTCTGGGACAGGTACACTCCATTGGAAAAATATAGCCCGGCAATTAATCTCTTAAGAAATACAAGATCGTTCTGTCTTTCCTCTCATGCTTCCATAATGAAACAAACCCAGGCGTAAAGAGGATGAATGAATCGAAATGTTCTCAAGCCAAAAGACGACGATCAAGACTGTCAAAGGATTGTTCCTGAAACTGTGAACAGGAGAATCCAGTCCTGAGGTGCACGAAAATAGCCGGCCAAGTCTTCTCGTAGCTTTTTCAAAATATACAACCGGAACAGTCGCGTAAACGAACCCAGGCCTCCGCTGTGAACGATCGTATATCCAGCTCCGACAAAAGCGATCGGAGAAATATCACACGAGCCTGATACAATAATAAAAGTCGCGCCTGCTTAATATTCCCTGTAATTACTTATGCAAACACTGGTCGGTCGTACAATCGATCACGTTCCGCTGATCGTGGATGCATTCTTATATGTTATCGTTGACGACGGTTTCCCGTGCTTTTTACTGGAAGAAGGGAAATCCGAATACGGCTGGACGATTCCCTGAATGACTCTCGAAACTGGTACGCCCACATTCCATCGGCTACATAAGACTCCGGCACGTTTACTAGCCTGTAAAACTACCTAAGGGACCTTCGTTCCCCCCTCGATTAGACGATACTCGGTTAACACGTACGAATTATTCATGACTCTCCTAACGCTCTTGATCACAATTGCACATCGTTCCTGATTTTATCGGAGACCTTACGAATCGAGTATCTTTATTGACACGTTGGACCTACCTTTGCTCTGCGGGAAAAGACAAAAGATGAACGCTTCTGAGAAGCTACAAGTTATTCATCTCCTAACACACGACGATAATGACACGTTAGTCCTGATTGTAATATCACAGATCTTATGAATCAAATATCGTTACAGATATATTAAGGTAACTCTTATATGATAAGGTAATCATTTATGATTTAATTAGAAGCTTTATGAAACAAGTACTTACCTGATTCGAAGGAACGAAGCTTCGCGAGTTGAAAGAACAGATGAACGATCGTAGATAAAACAAACAACAAATTCTTCTGTAACTTGTTTTCCATCATTTTCCTGTCACATACGCAGTTTGATCTTACCAATATCTTAATTTCTTTGACACATAATTATGCACTTCAATTAGAATGCACATATTGTTCGACTAATATAACTGACACGATTTGGCGGCAATAATCAGGGTTAACAACTATTGCATCTTAGATGGCGGTAAAAGGTCAGGATTAGTAACATAATTTTTGTATGTTTTAATACTTTTCTAGACAATTTTTAATGAAAATAATGATTCCAGATTAATCAATTAATTTTTTTAGTATGTGCAACCAATTCTGGATGCAGTTAATAACTGATTAATAGGCTAGAAAGTGTTTTGAACAAGTGGGCGGAAACGACGTTTTTTCTATAATTTTCGACCCTTTACTTTTTATATAACAATTTAATTAAAGAATTAGGTTGCTAGAGTTTATGGTCTCAGAAAATTTTTCTGAACTTTTCTAGACTTTTAGTAAATCAGGATTCATATTTTATAAATTAATTATGTTCAATGCCAATTAAAAAATGGGTACGTGATTCCCTTTCTTTCCGGGTTCATTTCCGGTCCGCTGTGCCTCTCCCCTTTCGCGTTCTTCTCGTGAAGTCCATCGTCCCGATCGTAATTGTGCGTTAAATTTCGTGATTTCGGTTCATATAATTCGCGAGTGGCTATAAAATTTCGAGTCCCCGGTTTATAATTCGCGAGTGGTCATAAAATTATCGATAGTTCTTTGATTCTTCGCGAATTATCTGTAAAAGAAAATTTGGGGGAAGCCGACCGGTATCCATCGTGCTTCTCGATTGTTCCGAACTCCGTATTTTCTCCGATCCGAGCTAGTTTGCTATTTCCATAATCGCAGAGCGTCGGGCTTTGAAATTTAAAGCAGTTCGTGTAATTATCCGTGAGTAAAATACGTGTTCGCGAAATAGCGGTGTGAGAACAAAGTTGCAAAGAAGCTACCCCCCTCCAGAGGTTCCAGATCATTCCATTGAAGGGACAGGAATCGGTGAGTGATCCGAAAATACTTAACCGTTATTCTCGTACGATAAGGGCAGCATGCAAAAATGGCATTTTATCGGGTAATTTAGCGTATTAAGTATCTAAATTTGTTAAATGGCATATTAACGTATTAACTGGGGGATCCATTCTATGGACCGAAAAATTTACGTTTGACTGATTGCGAGATATATTCGGCGAGCGAGATGTTTTATTTACAGGTACGTATTCATTACTCAGGAACTATTCTCGTTCGATCGATACCGGTGATATCTGAGAATCTTTCGTGTTTAAATATTCGTTTTGGTACGTACGTTCATTTACTCATACGTTTGTACGAGTAAACAATGAAGCGTACAACAAAGTTGGTATTAAACAACAAGTTAATCTCAACAGTAGTGATTACATTGTGAATCTTTATACATAACAAAATATTTATGGTATCAATTTAAAATGCCTGGCAATATGATTCAGCTTTCGGTACTTGTATTTTTGCACATCATACAGGATTTTTATTTCCCACGAATTCAATTTTTCTATAAATGCATAAAATTTGCAGTTTACTACTGATAATTGAGAAGCGTTCACATATTTTCTGAATATCGTGACGAAACATTGGACGAAGTGATCCAGTTCAATTTCAATAGCAATTGTATGCATACAATTTGTATGCATATGTCAGTGTCTAAATATTCGTTTTCGAAACACGTGTGTTGATTTAATTGTAAGTAATGAAACGCATAGTGAAGTGGATGTCGGAGAGGAAGAGTTTAATTAGATACAGATAATCGATCGTTTCCGGCTATAATAACATCTGCCTACGCGCGTATCGGCTTTCAAACTCGGACAACAACGCGATGCGATGCAACCCGATGAAATGCGATTGAAATGAAAAATTCGTCGAGCAAACAGCCGGGTGATTCTCCGCGGCGATGAGAGATAATGGGGGAGGAGTTCAATTAACCGATCTCGTTAGGATCCAGGAACGCTTGTGTGGAACATATCTATGTACATACGTATGTACATCTATGTAACACGCTGATACAGAATGCGCCCGTCGGACACGAGCTGGTAGGTGGCGAAGTAAAATAATCAATGAAGAGAATCAGGAGGGAGAAAGCGAAAAGAGCTTTATACGTTCGCCCACGCGGGCCCACGATATTATCCCGTGCCCTTTTTGTTCCTATATATGTTGTAAAAGACCTTGTCAGATATTCAAACCATTTTCTCCACCGTCGGCTTCTTCACAGAATTATTTCTCAACGTTTTTATGTGTTAACATTTATTAGAAGATTCTCTGTATCAGAATTTTAGAATCGATACCCAGGCAGGTACTCTTCATATTATTTATTCGTAAACTTGTTTACTCGAAGTTTGTTACATCAGTGATCAAATAATCGTTGTTATCTGTTTAAGAATTTCTCGAATCGATAGTGGAAATCGCTGTAGTGAGTCACGGCCGGGGGAGGTGGAAGAATGAATGCGCATAGTATGGTCGTGGTCTCAATGAATCAAGGTCTGTTACACGCGCACAGAACGGAGGAACGGTTCATTGATTTTGAGGTGTAACGTCGACGCGACGGGACGCCACGGGACGATGAGGTTTAATGCTCGCGGAGCGAGACTGCGATTCCGGTGGAGAAGCCGTGTTCCAAGAATTCTAGCCGCCGTGCTTAATTACTCCCATCGACGGAAGTCGGCATTTACGACGATTGCCCCGTCAATTTGTACTAATTTGGTGAACGGACCCTCGAAAGTTGCAAAGGGTGCAACGGAAACTATTCAAAAATCGATCTTTCCTAAATAGAAATGAGAGTTTGCATTTTTATATAATTGTAGTACGTTTCCCTCTGTATATCGAGTCTATTTCTGGTTGTTATTAAGATCGCAAATTATGATTGAAGTTGAATGAAAGGTAAAAGCGTGAACGCTCGATAAAATTATTCAGCCCCGACTAATTAGCGAACGCGGTCTATCTATTTTCTTCGAGATCGCTTTTAGATTACGCAATTAGTCGGCGGGTACGTTTGTCCATGATGGAAAATCGATTTGCGACTGTCTAAATGTTTCCAGACTTAATAATCAATTAACAGGCTCGCTTTTAGACCAGACAGGAACGTCTAATCGATTTCCTCCGATAGAAATAATTCCAATAAAGATATTGGAACGTACTTTTCTTTACCAAACTTTAGTAAATAAAAGATTATACTTACCGGTTGAACCTTATGCCGATATCCCGGCGTTGTAGATGGAGTATGTGGCCGGGTTTATATGCCACAACCGACGGAGCTCGTATTTTTAAATTTCTCTAGTTTCAGGGGATGATCAATGAACAGACGAAATTTGTATTCTTTATTTTATAAGGACACTTCGTTCGATTACAGTATCGATAGAACACGAAGTACAAATTAGTTTAAAGTGTACCTACTCGGCAGACCTTGGAACTTTGTTCCCAAAGTCTACTCTGCGAGTTTCTGAAGTCCGTCGCTTCAAAAAGTCGCAATAACGTAGACAAAGGGCTGCGAGCGTCGTTAAACGATTAACTATGTTCCCTTATCATTGTACTTGGAACATTTGAAGGAATACTCTGATACGCTTTTACATTAACAAAGTAAAGATATCAAGCCAGTTCAGTCGTTGAGTTGTTCCACTTTATGGCTTGTTCGGCGCACTCCTCAGTCTCTTGGGAGTGGTGTACCAAATGCACAGGAACACTAGTACAATCAAAAAACTAACAATAGCTATCCCAATGCCTAGCCACAGTTCTCCCCTCACGCTAAACTTATCCAACGCGATTTCGTACATTGCCAAACCCCCGTCGGGCGGCTCGCACGTAGCTTGAACTATAATATCCTGCCTCTGAATCTGTTTCGGCTTACAATTGGTTAATTTGTTCATTACTTCCGACTGATGAAGAGGAGGCAGTAGCAAAGACAGTGTCCACTGCATCGGGCTGATCTTTTGGTACCATCCTGGAAGATTCTCCAGATGCAAAGTCACGCCTCCGGCTAGTGTCATCTCGCCGATGACTATCCCAGCGAACAGGGAAGCCAGATACGTCCATTTGCAAGTATGAGCGAAGAGCAGACAAATCAAATGCTGCAGTATCAAATACAATAAACCAGTTGCAAGATAGTTCCACAAGGAAGTGAGATTCTCGTCAGGAATTAAATGAAGCCCAGACATGGCATACCCTGGGGCCAGATAGATGAGATACACCGCGCACCATGATATCCCTCCAGAAACGAGCTGAAGACAAATGAATTTCAATTTATTTTCATCGACAAGCTCTTTAAGGATGTATTGGCTATACATTTAATGAGTTACATATGATTATTTGGCATTTTATTGATGTTGACAAAATCCGACCATCCCAGCGTCGAAACTGCGAACTTTTGGCAAAAAATTTCGTTTTTCCTTAATTACTCCTAAACCGTTGAATGTACGAGAAAATTGTATAGGACCTTTCTTGTAGAGGACAACGAGATCTACAATTTCCATGTAAAATTTTTTCGCTAGCATTCTTATTTAACGAGTTATTGACGAAAAACGAAAAAACAGTTTTTTGCAAATTACTCGTTAACTATTGACGCTAGCGAAAACTTTTTACATGGAAATTGTAGATCTCGTCGTCCTCTACAAAAAAGGTCTGATGCAATTTTCTCGTAGATCCAACGGTTTGGGAGTTATTGGCCAAAAACGAAAATTTCGCAAAATTTGAAGGGGTACCCCTTGGAAAAATTTCGGAAAAATCGAAAATTTTTTTTGTTGTTTATTATTAGCAATGTTCTTCCGACGTTTGATTTCTTTTTAAAAAATGCATTTCTAAAGTGCATAAACTTTTGGGATTGACTGTATAGCTAATATATCCTTAAATTTCAAGCTGCTTACCTCGATTAAAATATACACGAATCTCCCATACAATCCATCCTTGATATCTTTCTCAACGTGCGGCCTGCAGTCGGCGACTTCGCAGATAGCTATCAGACTCAGAGGCCAGAAGAAGATCCCCAGGCTGGCGTAGTGGAACCCGATCCTGTCTCTGAGATGTAGATTCGAGTCACCGGCTACGTCCCAGAATATTGCACCCAATAAAATACTCAATGAGGCGGAGATCATGATTTTCCTGAGCAGCTTGGTCAGCGTCCACGGCTGACTGTAGATCAGAGTCCTCAGAAGTAATGCATAGACTTGCGTGAAGACGTTCGGGGTAGAGATAGAAGGAGGAAGCATCCCCGGGGGTCCGGGATCGCTGAGGGGCGGCAGCCTTGTTCTCGCTAATTCGGCCAAGTGATCTATCCTTTGGGAAGACTCCAACATCGCTTCCGCGGAGAGATCGTCCAGCGTTACTAAATCGACTGCAAGATCAAAGCGTTAGAAGATCGAATCGTTCATGAAATAATTCAAGATTACGTACGATAATAGTCGGAAGGATTCTTGAACGGAGGGCAAGGGAATTCCGCAAGGGCGAAGTATGGCAGCATGTCCCTCCTAGGCCCGGAATACATGATCCTTCCACCAGAAGTGAGAGCCACCCTGGACACCATCGTGAGAATTTCATACGTCGGCGGATGTAAAGTTAATACAACCAATCTCTGACCCCTGCCCGCCCATTGCCTCAAGTATTCCACCAAGAAGAAAGCATCGAAGATGTCCAGGCCGTGGGTGGGCCTGTCTAATGCGAGGATGTGCGAATCTTGCAACAGGCGACACGCCAGGGACAATCTCTTCGCTTCGGAAGTCGTCAGCGAATTCACCAGACAGTGCTTCGTCGCTTCTAATCCGAGTTCCTGAAGAATCGCATCAGCTTCCAATTTAGAAGTGTTCGGACCTCCTCGGAGGAGCATGTAGAAGCTTAGAGTTTGTTGAGCAGTCAGTCCTGGGCTCAAGCTACTTTCAGTAGACAGATAGGCAACGCGAGACCTGCGACAGGAATCTTTTAATGTCTTTTCTATTTGGTTTCTCTTTCGTCGCGTGTACCTTAGAGATCTGGAAGACACGGGTCTTCCATTGAGTAAAATATCCCCTCGCTTGATTCTCTTCCTTCCTGCGATGGTTTCTACAATTTGTTTCCCCTCTCTCTCCGTGGTAGCCATGATAGCTAGCACCTCCGTCGCTCCAGCCTCTAAAGTGATCCCTCTTAACAAAGGTAGACCGTCAGATCCCGAAGCTTCCACTCCCCGTAGCTGTAGATGGGGATGCTGCAAGCAGGGGACAGGTCTCAGGGGTAGAGTGTAGCTCTCTGGACCGAGGATACCGTGTCCTAGAAATCAATACCTCTTCAGCACTGAAATCAATTTTTTCTTCTAGGTATTTATACCTCTGGGTTCGTGAACCCCATAACCCGGATCGATTGGTGCGATACTGTGTCTCCTATTCCCTCTGACACCTCCCTGAAGGAGATTCGCCTCGCTGGCACTCCTCAGCCTAGGATTCTCTCTCGAAACTGTTAACTGGGAGTGCGCGTGTTCTCGAGGACCAGCGTGAACGTGTCTGAAATCAGGATCGCTTCTGGCAGATCTCATCGCGGACGTCCCGTGACCCGAAGTACCGGCGTGAGACACCCTGCGACCCTCTTCGCTGGAATCGTACCCACTGGAACCATCCCTGTTCCTAGAACTCGGGGGAAGGACCCTGGGGAGACCGAATTTTAGATATGTATATGAATTGCTGGCGAGAGGACTCTTGGGGCCGTATCTCGGATGCCTGAGAATGCTCTGCACCGTGGAATCTCGTAGTTGGAAGTTCCCGTACGGGAGAGGAGACTTCTCCGCTGAACCCAACGCAGAATCCGTGAAGTCAGAATTCAGATTTTGTCTGGAACAGGAGTAGATCGATGTAGAGCACCGGTTCTCTCGCTGAAGGAACGAAAGAAAGGAACGAACGATACCTGTAAATGGACCAGGCGTGCAAGTCCTCGCTGGCTGGAGGTTCCAAACCTCTCGTGTCCAACGCTCCGGGCACGGAGTACCTCCGTTCCAGCTCCCACGCTTCCGAGCCCATGGTTCGCGGCGTCTGAACAATTCAAGCGAGGCTGGATGAAACGGATTGCGTCACGTTCGTTGAGAAACGTGCGAAAACATGTAGAGAATTATTTTATCTCCAAGTTGTTCCTCTAATTTGAAAAACAGGCTGTCGCAATTACCGCGGAGAAGAGCTTAGTTATTCCCCGGAAGAACAGGCAATTAAGAAAAAACTGTTCTCAATTAAAATACAGAAATGAATCGCGCGAATGGCTCCGCAGCATGGACCGTGATAAAGCGCTATGGAATTCCGTGGCGTACGCACCGTGCGAATGATCGGCGAGCCTTTCAAATTGCTGGCTACCGAACGCTCGAAATTGTTCGCGAGAAGAAAGGTCTGGCTCGCTCCAGAACGGACAAAACAAGTTACCCGCTGATTTGTATCGCCAGCTTGCACATTGTTTCCGAATACGGCACGACGTTCATCCATTCTCGGTCAGACGGATCGCGTTAAATTATTATTATTATTATTATTATTATTATTATTATTATTATTACTATATTCCAGAATGTATTACGCGGCACTGCGCACGTCTGACCGTTAATCGCCTTACTTTTTGCCATTTTAAATAATTGTTACGCTGCTCTTATTCCCGTACCGTTATTAAATTATCAATTATAAAACAGAGATCGGTACTCTTAACGTCCGAAAGAAACTGTTGTAAATATTTAACAATTCAGACGTCTCTTCCACTTTCTGTTTACAGTTTCAACCAGCCGACTGGTGGATGCTACAAAGGAGCCGTGGATTTATGACTCGGTGCCGATTTCACGAGGATACGTCGTTGCAAAGCCGGTGAGTGCATACACGTTACACACCGTTTATTTATACTTGTATACGTTCGAGCGATTATGCTCATTGCGTGAGCACACGTGGCCGAGAGAGGCGACATTCCTCTTAACGGTGTAGCTCGTGATGAACTTGAAAGCGTAGATGGCTACATCACGTTTAACAACGCTAGTCTATCATCGGCATATTTTAAAACGCTATTCAATCGTCTATGAATCTAATTAATTAGAATGGCGTTACTTAAGCGGAGCTATGTAATGAGTCAGTAGAACGTGTCGGATGATTAAGTAAACAACAGACGTGAGACGTAACGTTCTTTTTACATCGGGTGGTCCACGCGAACGGCACGTCCGCGTCAGATGCCATCATGTAGCATTTTTTCTCTGCTGCCAAGTGGCTTCCCGTTAGACGTTGACTCACTGACGGTGCTTGCGCGAAACCGAGCAGCCTCTCGAGAGAAGACGTTTCTCTCGTAGTTGAGAATTTTCAAGTTACACGAGAACCAAAAGTCTTTATCCAAGACGGTCACAATGAATATTGTTTGACCGTAAAATTTTGAGGAAAAGCGAGATTTTTACGCGTCGAGTAACGGTACGGCAAGCTTAAGATTCTTGCTTGTATCGCTAATCGTTTTCTCTGTAAATATCGACCTCTTCATAAACCTTGCTTTTTAAAGTGGTACACCGCCCGGAGTCGAAAGTGTATTCGTATCGCCTCGGGCAAAATGTTTATATATGCCATTTCTACTATCTCAACCAGAAAACTCTCCCCTTTCTTTTTCTGATAGATTTCTCCTTACTTAACATAAGTATATCCAGTGATCATCGACCGTAATCGTTTCCCTTTGATTTACGTAACGCCATATGCGTACGCGATTCCTTTTTTTTTTCTTCGAGCCCGATAACTATCTCGGATCCGAGTTAACTGTTAATTTGCATATCCCGTTTCTGCAACTGTTGTACCGAACTAGTCACTATTATGTCTCCCCCCGTATGCAAAAATATATTTATATCTACCGTAACACTTTGGTAAACGCGCATAACTCCCGCTCGTTCGAGCACGATTGCAGTCTGCAGGGGGGACGGTGATACTTAATTAATACGCGTTCAGACGGTTCGGTGATTTTCATCGTCTACGACATGCAAATTCACTTTTCAATCCACTGACCATCAGGCCAGTCCGTGATGAAAAGCGATAGTTGTGTGCCAGCGGAGCGGTCACGTTTAACAGATTAACATGCAACTCGATGAGTCGATAACTAGATTAAAAAGTTTTATGCAAAACGGAGCATCCGCGGAATGAGATTATCATAAGATTTCCATGCGATATTATTCACGCATTTTAGACTTGTCTATTTCTAGTTTAAAGTCGTTAAGAATTCTGTTCTCATGCAGTTTATTTGCATAACATTGTTCGAGGTATTTATTACTCTTCTATGTTCGTTACGATTTTCCGATTGTTTCATTCGAATCGAGAAGTGTTACATCGGTACAGGCAATAAATTCTCTTTGTCTGCGTTTAGGGAAACGATAGGTGTACGCGGAGGGTTTCGAAATCTCTTCCGGCGTTGTGGGACTGTCCCACGCACCGATTTCTACGAGCGTGCCACTCGATCTCGTACACGCACGTGACTTAATAAAGCGTGGCCTGGATACCGCGTGCAAAAAACCGTGGAAAGCCCTCCGAATCGTAGAATCGATCGGGGAACGAGGCTTGAGATTAATTATACAAACGATAATGGTACCAGCATGTTCTTATTTTCTACAGGCTAAACGTCCTCCGGAAGACATACGTTTCTGCAATATCATTTCAACGTAAAAACATTTATGTGGAAAAGAGGTTTTACTACTACTAAAAAGAGGTGTTAAGAGGATGGGTTTTTAATTACAGAAAAAAATCCATTGGCTTGCCGAGTCGGTCTTCGTTAACGCTCGACGTTTATTTCTGAGCCAGTAGATTATTTGTATTCGTTCCGCCGTGCACAGCCGCTGCGGAGTAAGGGTACGCTTTGTAAAGACGTGCACCGAGGTCAGTGTTGCCGGTTTTTTCAATATTCCAAAGGGGTACGGCCGTCTGCCGCAAGAAAGACTTAATCAACATTGCAAACCGACCCGGAGCACCGTCCGTGGCACGTGGAAAGGTGCACAAGTACGCTTCTTGTGCGCTCGTTAAAGTCCCTGAACTTAGCATCCTCCCAAAACCATATACACGTTTTTTATATCTTTTTAATTGCTCACGTACCCACGATCAATATTATCAAATAAAAATTGTCCCGCAGGGATGACCGTTGATCAATTTTAATCGTGATATCGTTCGGCAATTATAGCGCGATTATCGAGGCAGTGAAAGCATCGACAGTGAAATGAAAAGCATTAGGAGGAAAGTGCCGCCACGGAATATTAACCGCGCTCGTTTCGTTCCTCTTCTCCGGTTCTGCGTTTCATAACAGGATAATTTATTAAAAACCCGCAGACTGCTGATAAGGACTGGAGTAAAACGGTTTCTAATCACCTGTCGCTTTCACCGGGACCAGGTGAACCATTTCTCATTATGCAGAATCTGGTTCCCAGTCGTTGAAGCATGACCAAGAGATTAGAAGCCGTTTCCACGTATTCATCCCTCTCCGGGATAAAAACACTCTGCTGTAACAGCAATTAAAACGATGAACGATGCGATCTATGAATCATTCTACTCTAACGTTTGAAAATTCTTAAATATAATCGTGATAAAAATTGACCCGGGCTGCGTGGAAGGGACACGTGAACGCGTGCCACGAAACCCGATACATTACTGTAGAGATTCTTCGCAGCAATGACTCACCGGCGTTCGGGATGAGCTTTCAAGCGAGCCTCGAGTCAAGGTGATGCTGTTTCTCCATTCCGATCGGTATTCCACTGGAGTTCGGTCCTCTGGTCAGTGATGCTGGATGAAAATTTGAGAGTATCGCGCACTGGGCTCTCGTCAGGAATCGCACAAGGGCCGCATCACCCGATCCGCGATCGCGATACCGCAATAGCATCGGTATGTTGAACGCCGAGGAGCCTTTTCTAAACGCTGCCTTCTGACAGACGTGCCTTCCGAACCTCCTGCGGTTCCCCTCTCCTGGTTCCCTTCCTTCCTCGGTGGTCTTTCAAGTTCGCAGTGGCGTACATGTTCACCAATCAAACCCTGCTCTCGATGACATCGTCGTTCAACAGATCTTGGATCATTTTTACACTACGACAATCGCATATTTCGTTTCGTCTCGAAACTCGAACGTCTCTCGGTGTTCTAATATATTTTCAAGAATTTAGAACCGGTCCCAGGCTCAGAGATACCTCTTAGATAAAATGTCTGGTGTTTGTCCGAGGTCACCGATTTGAATTAAGGTCATTTCTGAATAGTTTCGAATTTTTAATCGTCGTGATACTGTCGGGAGAATTGAGAGGGTCTCGAGTAAGCGAGTACGTTATTGTGCTACCACTAGATGTTACCTTTCTCCCACCAAGATCCTCTCGTAGGAGGCATTCACCTCGTGAAGCCAACTCCCAGGTATCGCTACCGATGCTTGTGTATTACATGCAATGTTCACTTCTCTGGCAACAGTGCCAGCCTGTGCATCTTCTCGTGGCACCGAGCCACTGCTCTTTAATTCAACACTCGTTGCAGATTCGACGGACGTAATGTGGTAATCGAAAGAGACTCACGATGATTCCACCGGACTGTACTCTCGACATCTCCAACGTTTTTCATTCCACTGCCGTGATCATCGAAGGCAGTTGTTTGAACAAGTCAGAACCCACTGCCGTATTAAGAGATGTATCCGCTCGAGTTCACGGTGGCGAAGTTTTAGCGATTCTCGGCTCGAAGGGTTCAGGGAAAAGAGCTTTACTCGATGTCATCGGTAAGATTCGAGTAGATCAATCGTTTGCATTCCCTTTTTTTCAATTCTGTTCCCAGTAATTCTCTATTGTTCTATTTTATGTCGAATGTACTTCAGAAAGTACGATTAAACATGTATATAAAATGTAATCACGGAATTGTCTGATAACGAAATTGAAACAGGAGTGCAAGGAGTTAATTAATCGGCCGAGGTCGTCACTGAAAATTGTGTTTTAGCTGGACGAGCAGAGGGAGAAACCAGGGGCAGAGTGACTCTGAATAATAATTTATTAACCCCGGAATTGTTCCGGAGGCACGGGGGATACGTGGCTCACAGATGTCATTTGTTACCGAGTTTAACGGTACGCCAGACACTGACCTACGCCACATGGCTCGCGAATTTGAGCAACAGAGAGGCCAGAGTTCGCCAGACTCTCGCTGATCTCGCGTTGTCTCAAGTCGCGAACAGATCAGTCAACGATTTGACTAAACCGGAATACAGGAGATTGATGCTCGGCGTGCAATTAGCTAAAGATCCAACTTTATTGCTGTTGGACGAACCCACATGGGACACGGATCCTTTAAACACTTATCTGATCGTTTCAATGCTCTGGTCTTACGCGACCAGAAGGGGTTCCATCGTTGTTCTAACGATGGAGACTCCTAGATCCGACGTGCTACCTTTTGTCAGTCGAGTGACTCTCTTATGCTTGGGCGCGGTGGTTTATTCTGGACCAACTAGGAGCATGTTGGATTATTTCACTTACATCGGTTTCCCGTGTCCGGAACTCGAGAATCCTTTGATGTATTACTGTGAGTATAAACGGATGAACATAGGCGAGTAAATTTGAGAATTAACGATTTTTTCAGTGTGTCTCTCGACCGTGGACCGTCGCTCCAGAGATCGTTTCTTAGAATCGAATCAGCAGATATCAGTCCTCGTCGAAAAGTTCAAGGCCGAGGGTGTAATTTACATGAAGGAGGCACCTCAGGTACCGCCTAACGTCAAAGACACGCCGTTAGGAATCATGCACAAGGGTCTCGGTCGTGGAATCAAACCAGGATGCTTTTCTACCCTGCTCGCCCTTTATTTGTACGTGAAACGGGTTTTATTACTCCGTCTTCGGATTAATATTAGAACGACGTTTTAGGAGAGGCATGGCAGCATCGTTTGCCTTTAACAAATCAGGCTTAGGGCATTTCGCTGCCAGACTATTATTGCTACCATTCTCCGTAGCTCTGATGAGCATTCTCTATTCGCATTCGACTCCTATGCAGTCTCGAATATTTTTACAAACAGGCGGTCTAGTGTTCAACGTACTGACTCTGTTCTACGTTGCTGGAATCGCGTGCACGGCTCTGCTCTGTAAGTTTTTAAGTGCCTGACGATTAGGCGTTAATTGACAATTGATTGATATAACAATAGTTAATAAAAAGTTCCAGGATACAGGGCTAGGTACTATCAAGAGAAAAGGGAAGGTTTGTACGGTGGGGCCATGTTCTTGACTGCATACGCGTTACTGAGTTTGCCGTTGAGTTTTATATCTACCATGATCACTATAGGCATTTTAACACCCATTCTGGAATTGGACTTGTCCACTTGGGCTTATGCCTGTGGTGTTCTCTGGGCCAGTTATGTGGCCGCGGAGCAAGTAACTGTCGCAGTGCTTATGGTCGTTGGAAGACCGATCACTGGCGCGATTACAGTTTTATACATGACTCAGGTGTCTCTAGTATTAGCATCTGGAGCTATCAGGAGTCTGAAAGGCTTGTCGTACTGGCTGGCCGCAGTTTCCACTGCGTTTCCAGCCAGATACGCCTCGCTGGCTCTTAATCAATTAGCTATTGACGTCCCTACGTTCGTGAATTTGCATTACAACGAGAGTTTCACGTGCCCCGGTATACCTGAGCTATGCAGGTACCCGGATGGCAGATCTTATTTAATAGAACGGTTCACACGCGAAGGTGAGAACATCTCAGAAGTTTTGAACGTCGATTTAAATTTATTGATCTCCTTGGCATTCGCCGTCGGGTTGAGTATATTCAACAGCGTTCTGTACTTGTTACCATTGCCGGCGAAAGTGAAAGCCAAATTCAGAGAATGAAGTTTCTTTTATTGTAAATTTTAGGATAGTAAATAAAACGTACGATTTGTTCTTATGGGCGTTTATTCTTTAGTTCATATATTACAAAATTATACATCAATTTGTTAGGACCTAGCTAACGCGTGAAATTGTAGACAAACTTTGCTTAAAGATAGAATGCTCTGTCTGCCGTTCAATTGGAAAACAAGTTGCTTTAAGTATCTTCCTTAAACCTTTACTGACAGTCTTCCAAGTTCACCTGTCCCATTTCTTTAAGATCATCGGCCACCGCGAATTCGCAGCCCGTAGAGCTCACGATCTCACTCATATCGACGTTAGGCGCGATTTCAATTAGTTTAAGTCCCTCTCCGCTGACTACCTCGAACACTGCCAAGTCTGTGATTATCAGATCGACGCAATGTTGACCTATGGACGAAAGTGTTAAGAATCGACCCTCTTTTGTAAGATATATAAATAGAGTGGTACCTGTAACGGGTAATGAGCAACTTTTCAAAATCTTAGGACTTCCATCTCTGGCTTTGTGTTCCATAGTAACGACAACTTTTGTACTCGCGGCGGAAACTAAGTCCATAGCTCCTCCCATTCCTTTGACCATCGTTCCTGGTATCATCCAATTTGCTAAATCTCCGTTCTCTGATACCTGCATAGCTCCCAGCATTGTTAAATTAATGTGACCTCTGCAAAAGTTTGAACGATTAATTCCTTCGATGAAAATCTGTAATGTATTTATCGAATCGCGATAATTACCCTCGAATCATCGCGAAACTGTCGTCACTGCTGAAGAATGAAGCTCCTGGGAGAACGGTAACAGTCTCCTTCCCGGCGTTAATTAAATCTGGATCGACTTCTGACTCGTCTGGGAATGGACCCAATCCCAAAATACCATTTTCTGATTGCAATATGACTTTCACATTCTTGGGAATGTAATTGCAGGCTAGCATAGGAATACCGATTCCCAAATTGGCTGTAGGATATTCGTTTATCAAGATTTAGAACCTTTGACAACGATGTTAATTACGATCTGTTCAATTCCTCACCATACATTCCATCTTTGAATTCCAAAGCTGCTCGCCTGATGATTCTGTCCCTAGCTTTGCTGGCTGGCGTCACTTTCTTAGGCTTCATATTCTGTTTCGTGAACCGTTTCTAAAAAATAATCATCAGTAATGATTTCAAATAATTTTAAGTATCATTTTATAAGAATTATATACAAACCTCGACACGTTTCTCGTACGAAACACCTTTGACGATTCTATCGACAAAGATCCCTGGCAGATGAACGTGATCAGGGTCCAGTTGTCCATTCTCTACGATCTCCTCGACTTCAGCAATAGCAATTTTAGCTGCCTTGCACATTACAGGATTAAAATTCCTGGCTGATTTATTGAACACCAAGTTCCCAGCCTTGTCTGCTTTCCAAGCTTTCACGAGAGCGTAATCTCCCGTGATCGCCGTTTCCATTACATAATTTCTGCCATTGAACTGAGCCACGTTCCTCGGTTCTCCAGATATCTCTGCATTCCCGTTCTCATCGTATTTCACAATTACGTTTCCTTCTTGAACTATGGTTCCATAAGCTGTGGGTGTGTAAAAGGCTGGGATACCAGCTCCACCAGCTCTTACACGTTCTGCAAGCGTGCCCTAAACACGGACAATATAAAATCAATATGTTTTCTTAAATAGTTCTAATTCGATTCATTAGATTTTTTGTTTTATTGCTATTTACTTGAGGAGTTAATTCGACTTCGAGCTTGCCAGCAAGGTATTGCTTCTCGAACTCAGGATTCTCTCCAACGTAGGAAGCTATCATTCTTTTAATCCTGTGTTCCTTTAACAGTATACCTAATCCAAAATCTTCAACCCCTGCATTATTCGAAACAACAGTTAAATCTTTGGCACCCCGTTTCAAAACAGCTGCAATTAAGTTCTCAGGTATGCCACAAAGTCCAAATCCACCAACCAATAGTTTAGCACCGTCGGGCATGTCCGATATTGCCTCTTCGACGCTTTTGAATACTTTTCCATCACCTACCGGTGGTTTTAACTTTGGTGCCTCCTCCTCTGGCTCGGGAACGTCGGTTTTTATAGAGAAATTCACAGAGCATATCTACGAGTATCAGAAATATCCTTAGAAATTAATGATTTACCGTCGCATGATCGGGAAAGTAAATTAAAAGATGGATTATGATCATTTATTTTTGTATTATGATAATTAGAAGTAAAATGTCAGGGAACGAGGTTAGTCGGCAGGTTTTTTAATACGCAAATTACGTACCCTGGAGAGTTTAAAATTCTTATATCCATTTTTAGGCCCCGTGCCGGCACGGAGAAAAATACAGCTGGCTCTGGTAATGGCAAACACCATTTTTCGATGAAAAATTTCACGGCTCGAGTCGGCAACACGTTCGGTCAGCAATATACATTGACTGACACCAAGACACCAACTGATACTAACTACGTAGATAACGACGCTTTGATTACAGCGAACTCTTATTGGTTCTTATTGTACGGAGATTAGACGCACTGCGAAAAAATCTGGCAAGTACTTGTAGATTTCTGATAAGTTTAAAACGAATTTCTAATAGCTTTTAATATTTATGCGACTCTACAGAACAAGTTGAGTAACTTGTTTATCATCGCTTGGTTTACTTTCGCCGTATCTCTATATTATCTGCTATAGTGATTGACAAACCATGTAAACAGACTATCAAGTAGATCAGCTTTGCATGGATTCTCGAGTAAGAGGGAAAAAGAAATGGGCAAGTTTGAGATGTCTGGTTCCTATTCCAACAAAATCCTTCTTACATTGCTTTCGTTCATAATTTTAAGTAGCAATAATATAATAAATATTATAGCCTTGTGAAAAGAAGCACCTGAAAGTTGTGAAATCAACGAAAGACGTCAAGTTTCCCATTTACTTATTATCATCATAATTATAAACAATATTCAACTAAATTTAAATAAAACAATTATATTTTTGTCAAATTGAGAACTAGAAAGTAATGAAATCGTAGTAACAGTTGTCAAGTTTCGCTCATAAGTTTATTATTTAAATACATATATGGGGAGCCAATTGCTGTTGACCAACGACGTATCAGCGTTCTCCTATATGTGATTTCTACGCTTTCCCCTCTACTACCGAATACGTATTGTCCGATTCTACATCAACGCCTATAAAAATGCGTGATCTTCAACAATAATCCTCACTGTACGTCCCGCTACTGCTACTATATGAAAAATAGTGGTGGAAGGGGAAGCACACATTGCACATAAACCTAGTAAATCATGAAATCAATGTAAACTTGCAGCACAATAGAGCAAAAGTAGCTAAATAGAGAACCCTTACTCTGTCGCAAAATATACTCTTATTTTTGACATGTCTTGATAAATAATTACCAATATAATTGTATTTTGAAATTGAATGTTAAAAAGAAATTGTTTTAGTCTATCGCAACATACTTTTATTAATTAACACATCACCTTTCGGATTGTGTAGCTTTATATTCTATTAATAAAAGTAGATGAAAGAATAGAGCGCTAACTTTTAATATTTAATACTGTTTATCCACGTGAGTTCCGCCGGACTGGAAAGTATAAATAGCGGACTGAAAATGTAGTTGCAATCTCCAGACTCAAACTTGCCTTCGGGACGCTCCCGCGTCCCTTAACTTGATATACAGAATAACACAATTCGTCATTAAATATATATTTATTTATTATATAAATTGTACAAATGCTATATACTATTTTTCGATCGATTCACGTTTCCTATCTCTCATCCACTTCATTTCTACGACGTTGAATCTCGTGTAGGAAGACCTGTCTTCCTTTTTCTGATTCCATTTAATCATAAATTGTCGTCCATCATCGATGCCTTCCAGCTCTTGCATCCGTAACTGCACCCCACAGCTCGATAACGAACTCGTCCGTGAATCCAAAGTCTTCTAGATCTGAGTTGTCAATCGCTTCTGCAAAATCAATGCTGTTGCACTTACCCTCTGCCAGTTCCCAGATTTGTGTAGCTGTTCAAAACAGATGCAAAGAAAATAAAAAGATTCCTTGAATTATTTCACTTTGGATATTTAAAGTCTTTTGAACATGCAATTCTTCTATAAATGCATTATGTCTGCATTTACCTAATTCAGTGTCATAGATGCCCATAAAGCTCTCCAAGATCACATTTATCTTTTCAATGCCGATAGCAGCAGCATCGTCCACCTGCAGATAAAAAATTAATCAGCATTTTTTACGTTCATTTTAATTAATATATCACTTACCTTCTCGATGATCTGTGCACTTCCATCAGCTTTGAACCTGAGAGTCTCTTTGCCGGTTCCATAGCCAGATTTCTTCCCCTTTTTCGCGTCTCCTCGCGGACCAATATTTGCAAAACCATTCTTCATCGGCTCGACTAATCTTAACGTGAACGTGGCACCCTTAGGGATTTCCTTCAACATTTTAGCGACCTCGAAGTGCCGTTTACCGATCAGACTAACAGAATTTAGTCTCTCCAAGTGATCTCCAATTTCTATCACCTTGACTTTGTCAATTATCGAACCTTCTTTAATACGCTTTATAAAAGCGTAGCCAGCACCGTTATCAGTTATCGTTAATCCAAGGGAATCGTTCGTTTTCACTAGTTCTATCTCTTTGGGCCTTCCTAAAAAAACGATTATTATCATTATACAGTTTTTAAAATTGATTCCTGCGAATTCACGGTTGCTACCTTTTTTATGAGCGAATATAAAATCGCCGACTCCTATCTGATTGCCTAGCAGCTCTGTCATCTCGATTTTGTGAGTGTTCAGCGTGCAGAAGATTATCTAAATCATTGAGAAATATTCATACATTATGTTTTAAGCAGGTACAACTTTTTAATGTTGCAAAACATTTTATTAATTATGTAATTTGTCTGTGTGTTTGTGCAATGAAAAATTAGAATTTCTGAAACGTGAATTAACTTTCACCGGTTCTTGGCCGGTGTTACGCAGGTGTCCCTGATCATAATGACTCGCTGCGTAAGCAGCACGGTCAGCCCGTTCTGGTGAAATGCAGCCGGTGGCCTTTTCCAACCAGTTATTACACGGAGAGCTACGCGTAGGCCAGAGGCCACGGCCCGGAACCGTTTCCGGTATCCGGAATGCTCTCCCTATACCCGCGAACAAACTTTAGTAACCGAGAGTAATTTAAACACAGAAATAATAAACACGAACTATGAGCGATAGGAATTTGATTTATCTTTTAGAAACAGATAATAGTAGGATTATTGGCTTTGACGAACGAGAGATAAATGTAATTAATTAAACGACCACTTACCTCTTCCATGGGTAAATCGTAGCATTCTGCGATCTTCTGATAAAGCTCTCGCACGTTACTGAATCCCGATATAAGTCCCGTAGGACTCCCGTGGGCCAGCTGACAATGAAACACTAGAGGCGGTTTGGAGTACCTCGACGACCGTTTCTCTTGATTGCCATTCTGCTGTTGAGTATCTTCTTGATTACTTTCATTGCCGTTCGGTTGATTATTGTGATCGTTCTGATGGTTCCCGTTCAGAACCTTCTCCTCCGTCGGGGGGACCCTCGGACGCGTTTTGAACAACGGCATTCCGTCTGCGAAACAGCAATTCGATATTTTCTCTGTATTACTCGAACCGCCGACGAAATTCTTGCAGAATTCGATGCCCATTTTCTTTGAAACTCGCCGCGTATCCCCTCCTTACGAACGATCATATGTTTTTTAAAGCGCACACGGTAAAATGCATGCTTATAACAGCGAGATAAAAAGAATGAAAGAGAATTGAAAGTTGCCTGCTGTGACGGAATTCTAGAAGCTAGCTATTTGATAAGACCGCTCAATGGTATAATAAAATGATAGCGAATTCGTGGAATCGTGATCCACAGCTTCGAAAATCGATTATATATGCTCGGGCGTTCATAACTCTGCGTCAGCAGGTAAAAATAACGAAATTACAGGCGAGATAAAAAAGATAATGAGATATGCAAGAATCGTAGGAATATGGTACAAAGGTCTGAAGATCTGTGTAACAGGAGAACCACTGAAAGGTGGTCGTACTGGTTTAACGGATCGCTGGCTCGCGTTACAATTCTCACAGTTATTAATTTCTACTGACTGTTACCCGCTCGATTAACTACGAAACAATTACCATTTCATTTCTTATACCGCGAGTATATCAAAGTTGATGATTCCTCGTATCTGAAAGGAGAGGATCACTTACCTCTCTTCTATCACGGCGTTACCAGGATGGGAATCAAAGAAAAGAAACACAGGAGTTCCTCATGACGTGTACCGTTTCCCGGTCGACTGGCCGACAATCTGCTCTTATCTCTTGTATCAAAGCCGGGCTGATCGCGCCTTATCGCAACGCAAATTCGCTGAGCACGCGAACTTCCATCGCGGAACCAGTTCTCTTCTCTTTCCCTCTTCAAAGTGTACTCGACTCGAGTCAAATTTTGCGGGATCGGTAAAGAGGATGTTTAGAAACGCAGTTTCACGAACAATCGTGACTCGCAGGAGCGTATCTGCGTACTGAGGTTCCCTTATTCGGAATCGGAACCCTTTCAATGTAACGACCCCCTCCTCTTTAGAGAGGTGGAGCGAGGAAACGGTGCGTTATCATACGGCATGGTAGTAAAACGGGTGGTCACGTTAAAAACGATTCATTTTATTCGTAAAAGTATCACAAACAATGAAACGATTACACAGACGCTGGTAAAAGCGTCGTATCAAATTTATTCGAACGTTTTCCGTAAAATTAATCTACAGTTATATTTAAGTATAAAAAGGAGATTCGAAAAAGAGTATTGTCTTAGAATGTAATATGGCTCTCCTTCTCTTCATACTTCAACAATCACAGCGCACTTGTTAATAAAACGGAACGAGAACGCACGATATGGAACGTAGTCAGTCTGAGTAGAGATAAAATTTTCGTCTACGGTGTATATATTAAATATCATCTACTAAATTCGGTATACTGGAAGATATTTCATATATATTATTGCTGTCCTAAGTGTAACTCCGGTTGGATAATAAATACTTTCCACACTTTGCCACAGTTTGACTTATGCTCCAGAGCTAAGTAGTTCCTCATTGGTACCAATAAATAATCGTACGGGTCAGTGTTCAATTGATATTCTTCCATCGCTCTGTAAATCGCTCTAAAGGGAGGCTGCTTCTCCGAATGAAACGTGCTCCTAGATCCGTGCAACACGAGTGCACCCTCTTTCTCAGCTTTAGTACATACATGCATGTACATACAATGATCGGGTCTGTAATTGTACCTACACGAGTAGACGTACAATTTCTCCGGGTGATAATGGAATATAATATTTATTATATCCTGATCTCCCCACGTTATCTTCAATTTATACTGTTTATGGATAGGTATCACGTATTCTATCCATCTGAACTCCCTCATCTTCGTCAGGTTCATTAACATCACTCCAGAGTTCACACCCAGTTTCCCATAATAAGGATGCTTAGCAAATCTGTTGTACCATCCTGTACTTGGATCCTCGTGCTCTGGGCTGAGAGCAGCCAGCTGGCTAGAATTCATTTTTTTAAATTCGTCCCAAATAATCTCTGGCGGTGTCAAGAACAGGGTGTCTGTATCCACGTACAGAACAGCATCCGTCTCGTTCAATACAGACTATAAAAATGTATAAAATAAATACATGGAATAATTGTAGTTTATATTGAAATACTTACTGGAAGGAATAATCTCTGTGCAGCACAGGGTTTGAATAATTTCTTCCACATAGCTGCGTCGCTACCTTCTGGGAATGTGATAGGTTTCACGGTGAAATCAAACGTTTTGTTCGATATGAATTTCCATTCGGACAGCTTCTCGTCAAAGGCAGGAATCAAATTGGTCTCAGCTATCACGATGAATTGCAAGGATCTTTTTGTGAAAACCAGAGCGGATTTGAGCATGGTCAATGCCTCGTCCACTCTGTCCCCACAGACCACAACGCATATCGTTACTTCCCGAGTAACAGAGGGTTGCTGTACCCTTTTTGCAATGGTCGAGGGGACGGTCTCTTTGGTGGATACATCGTAGATTTTGTTCTCGTGAGATTGTTGAGAGAAATTCGTCAGATTAAGTAATATTATCAACGCAATGAAGATGAGCCAGAGGAAAAACAATTTGTACACTGATTTCATTGTACTCCATCGAGTTATCATATGGTCGACGAAATTTCGATTTGTCTCAAGGTCGATGGAAAATCCCGTGCGAGAATTGATCGTTTTCGTAGGTCCTCGTCCAGTTTATCATCCCTGGAGATCGTTCCTTTTAACCTTACCGTATGGCGATTACTATAGCTAACAGGTAGGCACTGTACGGTTCACGTATACGGAGATCTCATCGTTTAGAATAATTCTTGAGCAATATATCGATTATGTTTTATGATATGATAAGAGTTGGTTCGTCGGATTTAAAACATCCGAACGATCGCGAAGTATGCGTTTCTCCGCTTTCGAAAATATCGATTAGTGTGTTCCATCTTGACAACCGAACCAGTTTTTGACTCCCACGTACTTTTCAAAGTGGCACTGCGTCACTATAGAAGATTTTACTATATTAAATTCACGCGTTCGAGTTCGTTCAGAATTCAGAATTTGTGTCAGGATTAAAA